CACAACAGTTTGAAAACGGTCATTTGACCGGCCGTGGTAGGTTTAGTGTTAAAACCAGAATTTAAAACCAACACCTTCGACGAGAAGGTCCTCTTTCAGAATAGTCCTCGATACGCGATCTTTAAACATCGATTACCATAAATTGGAATTGGATAGCTCACGAGGTCTAATCTTTCACTCCTTAATGTCAAACACCAGCGGGCCTGGAGCCTGTTATAAGCGTTTGCAAATGAACGCGAGATCTTGCATCTCTCTCGACTACTATCACGGTGAAGAAAGTTGTCGGATGACGCCCATAAATTTTAATAATTGAAGCCTCGAGCAATACGCGAATTTGCCAGTCACGTCGATGCTGTGTACAGTTTTCCCCGCATCGAGATTCTAATCAACGTCCTTCGTGTAATCGTCCTCGCGTTACTCTAATTGAGCAGCTACCATTTCCTGGGCGGTGCCAGCTCGATCTTCTTACGTTCTTTTTGTTTCATCGTGGTCGAAGCCGTCCAACGACTCTTCCTAAGTATATCAAACCCATTCATTTTATTTATGTCTATATAATTCGTAAATTACCAAAGATGTGAATAAATGTTTCGAGTGAATGTACTTTATCTGGAGTCCCGTAAATTAGTTTGAGAAGATACATAAACTGTGGGGACCAATATTACGTTTTCAATGAACTAGTAAAAATATAAAGTGGCTCGTTAAATGTTATTTCTTTCCATGTTACAATCTAGGAACAAAATAATCTTTGAAGTTTTCTGTCGCTACTCGAAGCAATGATCGTAAAAGACGCGTCAAAAATCGATCTGGGAAAATATGTCAAAGACGTAATTAGTGTTAAACAATATTAAAGGAAAAGCATCTGTTATAATACTTATCAGAGTATTCTGTAGGTTTATGTTCGAGGTTTAATTTACAATTGCATAACTTACTAGTGAAAATAAAAATTTGGAAAATAGGATTATAAATTAAATCTGAAATATAAATGTACAGAGTGCTTAGAAAAATTTAAGAAATGCTTTCTTCTCGATAAAGTTATAAATTGTACATACAAAGAAAAGGATATTTATAATACTATGCAACTATCCCATAGAATAGTATACAAATATTATTAACCTTTTGATCGCGAAGGGCGTATATATACGTCCTCGAGTAATAGGCTCACAGCTTGGCTGACCATAGAAAGTCAATATGTATACCGGGTGGGGCATTTTAAACAGGTCACCAGAATAACTCGCTTGTTTTTGAAGATAGGAGAAAATGCATTAGACCAAACTTACTTGGTATCGGAGCGCTCATGATCTGGTATTACCAATTTTTCTATAGATGGAGCCGTCAAGGAGATATGAAGGTCAATTCTGTTTTTTTAAACAGAATGGTATAGTTTCTTACTTAGAGTTTGGTAGAGTGTTTCAAGACGAATACAATGACCTATTATAAAGGTCATTCGAGGTCACCCAAAGTCAACTGCAATAGAAAATAAATTGTCCCAGAGTACTTTTCGAATACTTGGACGTTTATTTGCTTACTGCCACTACAAGTGTTCAAAATGGCGACCATGAACATGGATATATAGTCTAAATCGTTGCAATATTGATGACACCGCCTGGCAAATTTCATTTGTATCTATTACAGAGCAAGCTCATTTTATACGTTCTTGCATGTCAAGTTTGGTAGTTGGTTTTTCGCGTAATATTACGAAGCTGTTCTCTAGACGGTAGTCAAATTACTAATAATATTTGAGGATACAGATAAGCGTACAATGTGACTGAATGTTTGTTTAAAAGTACTCTGAGACAATATATTTTCTATAGCAGTTGACTTTGGGTGACCTTGAATGATCTTCATAATAGGTCATTGTATTCGTCTTGAAACACTCTACCAGACTGTAAGTAGAAAACCATACCATTACATTAAAAAAAAAAAAACAGAAGTGATCTTCATACCTCTTTGACGCCTCCACTTACAGAAAAAGTGGTAATGCCAGATTATGAGCCCGCCGATACCAATTAAGTTTGGTCTAATGCATTTTCTTCTATCTTCAAAAACAAGCGAGTTATTCAGGTGGCCTATTTAAAATGCCCCATCCTGTATATAGGAACCCAGTAACGAAACGAAATCCAGAGCCTCACGCAAGTGGACGAAATTTTTAAATTCGTCCAATGAATTTTTTTTAAATATCTTCTTATAGAGAATGACAAGATGAATTTCTTTTTATATTTACAGTTTATTCGTCTGGCGTTGAATTTAAAAAATAAAAATTGAAAACTTAAAAATCGCATCTTGCAGCTCGAAGCATTGTCGTTGACGACGGTGCGCGATCTTATAACTAACACTCTATTTCAGTCAATTGTGAACGAATCGATTTGCAAATTTCTGAGAAACTTCTTCGAATACTATGGGACAATTGTTTCACTGGATGTTGTTTTGAACGCAAACTTCCATCGATACTTTTTAACGGTGAAAATGAAAAGCATCGTTAGCTGGCAGTTACTCATTTCCAATTGAATATTTGTAAACAGTAATGAATTTTCGGCTTTTTGTTAGATTGTTAAGTATCGATGGATTCTACTACGTATCTGTACAAAATTTGGAAGTTTTTCGGTGACATTCGTCCAAGATACAGCGATTTATATTTTATAATCTAATTGAATTTCGAGAAAATGGACTTTTAAGTTTCCAATTTTTATTATTGAAACTAAACGTCGGAAGAATACACTGAAAAGATAAAAAAGTTTCGTCTTGTTATTGTTTATAAAGAGACATTTTTGAAAAATTGATTTATCGAGTTCAAAAATTTCGTAAAGGGTTAACAGAGCGTAGAGTTTTTTTTCGAATGAATACAATTACAAGTAAAATGCATCATTTCAGTTTCTGATTAGCAAAAGTAACATTCGTGGGCATAAGAAGGTTTACAGGGCATTTTAGAAATTACTGATAATCGAAGGAAAGCGAGTGGTCGAAGACCAACACATGGTGTTACTGAAATTGAATCGATGCTGCAAAACCATCCAATAATAATATAAGGAAACGGACGGATAATAAAGACTTTCTCTTATTCGCACGAAACCTCATTGGTATGCTCGCGTTGAGCAAAAGCTGTACCTCTCGGAACAGCGAATGGTATGCCGTAACATTAGTGGATAATTGCTAGGGTCTCTCAGTTTGTTACCAAGCTTAATTTCGATACTTTGTTGCTTCAAATGAGTGGAAACATCTTGCTCAAGACAAGAGATATCGTTTAGAATAAATTTATGTTACTCGCAAAAATCTTCGACCATTTGTAAATAAAAATTGTAATTGACAGGATGTGAAAGTTATAACGTTATTTTTGGCATATTATTAATGAATTGGTTATTGGTATGCTTATTATATCGAAAAAAGATGAAAGATTCAGATTTAGATATCAACATTTTTGGATTTTGATAAAACTTTATACTGCATATTTTAGTCTGATGTCGTCATACATCTGCTTTGACCAAAATCCATCCATGAATAATTTCTTTTAATTTTTTTCATTTTTCTAGTATACTTTCACTATTTGTAAATATTTTTGTTATAATTGTTTTCTTTTTAGTTTTCTTTCTAGTCTTCAATTTTCTCTAATGAAAAAAAACATTGAATACATAACAACAACTTGTACAAACAGCATTATTTTTCTTCCATAAATGCTATAAATTTATTTAACTCAAATTATAAATACCTCCAAGCATCAGGCTCGACAAAAGTCATCTTAAAATTAATGCTCAACGGCAAATAACGCTAATTAGGAAAGATAAAAATGAAATTTAATCCATATTACAACAATATAAAATTCTGTGTATATTCTCCATGTACTTTGATATTCACGGTGTACGTTATCGTTAGACGTAAATAAAGCGATAACGGAGGATTTTGACAAATGAAGGTTAAACGTGAGCAGCTTATGAAAGCGAAGAACAGTAATTTTAGGTGAACGGTAAACTCGTTTTGGCAGAAAAAGATTCGTAAGCCATGTCTCGCTAACGAGTTATTTGCTTTAAAGCGAATATTTCAAAGAATTGTTTGAAAAGAATAAGAAAGCACTATGAAAAGTTATTTTTGATAAAAAGCAACGAAATTGCGAGTATCGTAGCTTTGAGTTAAAGCACGAAGAGTTACACTCTACTTGACGATATGAACTCGAAATCCAGGAAGAAATGCATATCAAGGCCGATCTCTCAAGCCACCCGCGGCTCTCTCTCTCATTATCCTTCGGTAAATTCGAAGTTAATTAGAGCTCAAGCGGAAAACCACTTTGTTTTGTTCGAATGAATCGTATTCGAATAGGAAATACATCAATTTTTATTCGCATTATCTGCAATAATCACTGAAAATATCATGTTGTCGCAACTAAAGGAGGCCACCTAAATATTTCCGTTGGTTTTTATTACATAAAAATTATTCGTAACGTGATTTATTGAAACCGCAATGATTTTGGAGAAGTACCGTAGAAGACAAATTTTTCTACTAACTTCAGCTTTTTTTGATTTTCTTCAAAGTCATCAAAATTGAGTAGTCATACATTAAAAATGAATATCATAATTGTATTTTATTCCATGTATTTAAGATTGAATCGATAACGAGGTATCCATTTCTTAGATATGCATTAATTGTCGAAATATTGAACGCTTTAGTATTAGCTCGTTCTAAAAGTTCATGTCATTGCTACTTCTGCTACTCAAATTAATATGTGAAATATACTCTTAAGTGTTATAAGAAAAAAAAAGAAATAATCTCTCTCATTTTATAATATTTTCTCACCTTTCTGACATGGTCATTATACCGTCACTATAAAATTTCTGTAGTTTTTTTTATCCATTATTGACACAGTCTTCAGCACGAACTTATGGATTCACCTAATACAATTTATACAACGATATAAATTCAAAACTAGAATAATCTGTTGTTATCTTATACAATTACCTTTTTACTTGAAACAAACGGAATGCAACCACTCATTCGATATTTAATTTGTGTTACAGGAAGTCAATTTAGCGACAACACACCACCGGTAATGTGGATAGACAGAAATTTTGTACTTTTGGATTCCGAACCCGTAGGAAGTGTCGTGACCAGAGCCCGCGCCGAGGACAACGAACAGGATCAGTTAACTTACGGTTTAGAATCTCTTGGACACAACTACAATGGAAACGATAGCCCGCAACCACCGCTTCCTTTTTATATCGACAATAGCACCGGGATCATCTACGTTAATGAAACGCTCAAAGGCAAAGTGAGTTCCGTTTCAAAGCTTTCTAATAATTGCTGCATAAAAATTGTGTTCACTGTTTTTTTGGACGTTTTCATACCGTACAACTTTTATCTAACCAATTTTGTTCTGTGTGCTATCAAATTCGAATGACTGTGCAATATACATAGATACATAGGCACATATACTGTGTGTCGCATCGGCCATAATTCTCGACTACAATTTGAAAAAATCATAAGTCTTGATTGGGTAAATGGATTTCAATTATCAAAACGGGGAAACTGCGTGTCTATAAGTGAGGAATTTTTAAAAAATATAAGACTATATTATAAATCTGTTTTTTAGTACTTTTTGGCGGAAAGATACGTAAAACGTTGTCTAATCTTTAAAAATTCGTAGCTCTCCTACTAATGAATATTTTGTATTGAAACTTCCTTTTTGTTATAGATCTCATGAAACCCTACAAAAAACATATAGAAAGTTTTTCTCTAAAGTGAAAACCCAATTTTTTAAAAATGAAAGAAAGATATTTTAAGAAATCCACAAGGGTGGTGCCCGTCAATTTTTGTAAAAATCTAAAACTGTTTATACAAATTATCGTTCACTTCCTCGATCAAAGTGAAGCATATTTTGTTAAATGATATATAAAAGCAACTTCTATTATCTATGAGGAAAAAATTCCTAAGAAAAAGAAGAAAAATGGTTTGAACAAAAATGATCCTTGAAAAATATTCATACATATAATAAAATATAAGTGGCCGAATATTAATGCGACGCAAGAATAATGCATTATCTAGTATATTGTTCGTTACATTACAAATTCGATAGACTACATAAATAAAATTTACATTTCTGTTAAAGAGAACAAACGTTCTAACATATCACACACAAAAAAATTGTATAAACTGAATTATGGTCAGGTGTAGATTGTAATAATGAATAAAGTGTTATATAGCGTACGAATATTAATACGAATCACTGTATATAATAAAAGTTGCTCCTGAATCTGATGTTTACGTTAGAGGAATTTGTTGCTTTAATAGCTACAGTGGATGTAGAAAGTATTCGTACACCGATCACTTTCCAAAAAAACTATGTGAAATTGTAACTTATTAACTTTCTTTTTATAAACAATGACATTCTATATATTCTTGGAAATCTCTAGAATAGATACACTACGAAAAGATTAGTTATTTTGTATAAATGAGAAATCAACAAGAAAAAACAATAAATCGATAGAAATACAGAACCAATAAGTATTCGTACAAGTGTTATACCTTTAAAACTTCGTTAAAAAAAAAAAAGAAATTTACATTAATTTATAAATAATTAATACTTCGTGGGATTTCCTTTTGTTTTTATAATTACTGCAACTTTTCTAGGTATTAAATTAACTATCATAAATGTCGATGTTATTCGGGGTGAGATCTTTTTCCATTCCTTTATTAGAGCATTTTATAAGTCTTTTATATTGGAAATTTAATGTTTTCTGATTCCCACGAAGTAATAAACTGATGTGCTTATGTTACAAATTCTACTATAAATTGTTTGTCATAAGAACCGTAGGAATACTTATTGCTTCTATATTTCTACCGATTTTTTATATTTTCTTGATAATTTTGCAAATTATATAAAGTAGTAATTGTTATTTGAACTATATTCTAAAGATTTCCGAGAATATATAGAATATCATTGATTATAAAACAAGGAGTTAATAAACTACAATTTCACACAAAAGTTTTTTGGGAAATTGATCGATATACGAATACATTCTACACCCACTGTATGTTGAAACAAGTATGCCAACCAACAACTCAGCAATATTGGGTTAGATCAAATATAATAAAGGATGAAAAGGACTGTCAAGTTGTATTCGTTTGATTTCATTCGCAGTGTTACACAATGAACTGACATTCTTTGACATAAAGATATACACTGAATTATATTCTAGTCATAGCGGTACGTGAGGTATTTAAAATTCTGCACGATAATCGTTCGTAGTACCGTTGTAAATGGTCAAAGTTCACCTTATATGTTTTTAAAGGATTCCCTTTTTATACTTAATCCCTAAACGAGCCTTAATTTCATTAATTTAGCTATTCAAATAGTTGCTTTGAAATGATGACCTATTCGTCTGCCAGGAAGCAAGCCCTGATTGCTGATTGTGAGATTCTAAATTAATCTTCGTGGATTGTCGCGGATTTGATGTGATCTTTCAACCAACAGAATGTAGCACGCTTGTTAAATTATCGTTCCAATGGGTTCCGTTTCACCCCTGTTTAAAAAAAAATAGGTGGAATATTCACTTTCTCAAACTAAATGTGTATTATCTCTAATACTTGTGTAACATTTTATGCAGCTGTGAATTGGAAGAACCAAATTGAAAAATTACCAAATGTACTTTAAAACATACCTAACATATTCCCAAAGTTATAAAAACATAAAAACTTATCTATAAAAATAAATATCCCAACAAACATTTAATAATTGGACCTCTAATGCAGTTTCCCCCCTTAAGGGGGTTCACCTGTGTAACGTTTGATTTTCAAGGTACTTTACAAGAATTTTTTGTAGAAAAAGTACTAGTGCAATTATGATTATTTTTTTTTATTTGATAGATCGACGCTTTAACATTAATTTTTGATTTTTATCACAATGTTTCGACATGTGGATATTCCTAGACGGCGCTTTAACGAGACCACTTAAAAGTAGAAGAATCATTCGGCGACCAGGATTTGATCGTACTTGATCGTCTGAAACAAAAAAAGTAAAATACCTTCTGTGTAATTACATTTTGAAGGTACTGACGATAAGATATTCACAAAATTTTGAAAATTGTTAATAGGGTGGCGTATAAACTAAAAAATGATATTTTAAGGTATCTTTTTCCCTACCTAATGGCTAGTAGACGTTGGAAAAAAATTTCTTTAACATGTATCTTGCCGCCAGTACCGCCAATTACGTTTGAAAATTGTAGAAAAACAAATTTCATCCCGATTCATGTAATGGATTTTCTGCAATCCTGTTTATTTAGAAACGTTTATTTGAAAACATTCGCGTTTAATGTTAAAGCGTCGATCTACAAAATAAAAAAAAAATTATCATAATTGCTCTAACTACTTTTCCTACAAAAAATTCTGGAAAAGTTCCTTGAAAATTAAACGTTACACAGGTGGACCCCCTTAAAATGAAATCGACTGTTTACTGTATACCTACAGTTCGAAGTGATATTTTACTCATCTCCGATCGAGATAAATAAGTCAGCAAATTGCACGGTGACAATTTTCGTTGTATCTGATTGTCGGGACGACATGATTTTAGTCAAACGTATACGATTATACGGAGCCAGTCGTGCATGCGAGCATTCGTCATTTTCGAAGCGTGAAAAGTCGATGAATCGCTTGTTTAGAAGCCAGGCAGAGGCCTGGGTGTAGTACACCTAAGTAAGCGGACGAGTTCCCGTCGTTACACGGAGAGCAAAGGCACGCTCGTATACGGCCATTTCTTTCGAGAAGATGAGAACGTAACACGAGCTACGTATGGTCGATGTTCAGGGATTGAACGACGTTTCTTGCTTCTTCTTTCCAGGGAGGGCAGAACCTGTCCCTTTACGTGACTGTCTCCGACGGTCAACTCACGACAAAGACCGAGGTCTACGTCATCATCAAGAACACTTCAGGCCCCAATGGAGGACACACCAGGTAGGTTATTCGTCGAGGACAAAATCAGTCGCGTCACTCGATCGGTGAACCGATTCTGACCGAGTGCACGGTCACCTCTATACAAGGTGTCTCACCTCACGCTTGGATAAGAAGTAATAGTATTTTCGTAATCTTCAATGTAAAATGTTATCAATATTCATCCAAATTTTTCTTAAACAATTTTATTCTTTAATTATTGTAATGCCAAAATTGAAAATTACATTTAAACGACACGATTTTTGTTTACTTGGGTCATCATTTTATTTAGAAACATTCTTATTTAATTTGAACCAACATTAATCGCACATGACATTGTAAATTCAGAATATATTCTTGAGTCTCCTACGTATTTTCATCTTCACCACACCGATCAATTTATGTTTCTGTTTAAATCATACTTTGACATTCAACATGTGACCTGACGCTTGGATCTTAAATATCTGTTGTGTTCCTTACGTGGATCATGCCACGGGAAATCGGCCATTAAATGGACCAGCATTTCAGATTTTCTACAAATTTGAGTATGTTGCAGTGTTTAGTGACCGACGCACTATCGATTACCGGTGCAATTATTTATTGAGATAATATATAACCAATTGTGGTCTTGTTCTCGTATGACCTTTTCCTGCCATTAATTAATTTATCAATTTATCGTTGGCTGTTAATTTTAATATGGTTTATCATTTGAAATAATTATTCTGAAAAAGTAACGTTGAATTTTAGTTAGAAACATTAAACTTACCTTAAACGAGTCTTCAAAATTTCAAAAATTAGGGATTTTACAAGTGTTTTGTGACGCTGAAAATCAGTGCTACATTTTTTGTTACAAAACTATAGCACTTGAACTAATAGACGGATAAGAGTGAGCCTTTGGAAACTTATGCAGAAGATATGACGTACCAACTAAAAATATTCATGTATATTTGTATATTTTATGTGCATTTATATCCGCTGTCTATTTATCACCAATGAATTAGAAGAAGGATGACATCTTCCTCTCTATCATAATCTATAGCGAAAACATTTAACAAATGTAAAAATCGTTTGATAATTTAATTAAGCCCAATAACATACTACAAGAAGAATATTTTAACTCTTTTTATATAAAGATCATAATGAGTTTCAAGATTGTTTACCTTGGTAAATGTAAGTAATTGTAATGGTTACTCTCTAATCTGCATTCTATAAATTAAATGGTTTACAGAAGTGCAGACCATTAAATGGTTTCCAGGTTCTAGACACTCAATATTTTCACTCTGTCAGCTAAATATATCACTATGAATTGTATGGCGATACGTGTACTGCAACGAGTTACAATGAATACTTGTGATGTCGACAATGCGATAGAATCTTGTCCTTTCGTTGACAAAATTTCTTTTTATAATAGTAATGCTATTAGCGATTAGTATATGTGATACAATATTTCGATAAATAATAAAATACATAAACCTTCCCTGAAATATTCAAATCGCTATATTTAGATTCTATCTGGGGTAATTCTTTCCAGCTCTTCAGTACAGATCTGCATTTTCTTCATGAATTTAATTTTGTAATCTATAAATAACAGTGAGTGGTATGAGTATACACTAGCAAACAATTTTTTTAATTTTAATCAAGCACAAATGAGTTAGCGTAACTGTGGTAAATACTTGAACTACAATACATACTTTGTTACGTTTAATTTAAATCACGTGTACTTTTATTTAGGTTGAAAAAACAAATTCTAAATCCTCATTTAAACAGCTTTCATTTATCTTCCTATTATGCTATATGTAAAGTATGTACGAAATCGTAAACATTTCATATATAGAGAATGACAAACAAATAAATATTTTCATAATAATAACATGCGCCTGCATTGAATATTTTAGAGAAGGGTAAAAGGTCTGTTAGGTCTCTTAACAATTACCTTCAGGGCCTAATAACTTTACATTCGCGATTCGGTCTCCTACCAACTTTCCTGCCCAATTTTAAAACCACCGACCTAAGGTTAAAGATTACAAAAGCCCTTAATTTGCAACGATTATACCTTAAGAAGACACTCCGAGATGAGCAGTGTCCTGTTTTGTTAATCTTAACCGCTAGCTAGTCCCGCGATCGTTCGAAACAAAGGTGAACCTGCAGGACCTAGCCAACTGGGTAGAAAGTTTCGTCGATAAATCACAAGGAACAATGCACGACCTTTCAGGGGACCCGTGGCTGTCCGTTCCATTATTCATGCTCCAGTTGGTTGACGATACTCTTTCCAACTCGAGCATTTCAAAGTTGTTAACCGGGCACTGCTTAACTCTGCTCTGATTTTTCTTCGACAGGAACCCGTTTCCGGGTCAACACGCTCCTGGTGGTAGAATACGGCCGCCGCTGTTGGGATTGCCGAGCCTGCAGAGCTATCCGCGGCCAGGATTACCTCATAAATCGGTGATGCCGTCGTCGCCAGTGGCAGTGCCGGCCAATATGCCAAAAACGACCAAGTTGCAACCGGAGGAGGCGAAGCAGAACGAGGGTGACATCAGCGGTGGCTTCACCGGTGTCCCTGAGGTGCCTTCGGTGGAGAACGAGGTCGAGGGGCCACCTCACAGCTCGAAAATCACACCTGCCGAGGCACCGCCTTCTCAGGATATTGCGATGACCTTGGTACCTGTCATGGCGGTCTGCGTACTCGTGGTGGGTCTCGGGATGGGGGCCTGGTCCCTGAGAAATAAATTCTGTGGAAGTAGGAAGTCCAAAGAAGACACGGTAATTTCTTTTTATTTTTGACTTATAACGCGTTCGCTGCCAGTGCTGCATATACCGAGTGAGGCATTTAAAACACTCCACCTGAATAATTCGCTTACTTTCAGCGATAAAAAGAAAAGCGTTGAACAAGAGTTGTTTGATTTCGAGGGGCACGTAACGTGGTTCCAATAACTTATTTATCGGTAGAAGCGTAGAAGTGATATATGATGGGCGATTCTGTTTTTTTAAATGGAGAAATAGTTTCTTATACGCATTCTGATAAAGTGTTTCAAGACGAATACAATGACCTCTATATGAAAGTCATTCAAGGTTACACAGGCTGACCGAATTAAAAATCAATTGTTTCAGGACACTCTTCAAATATTTCATTAATATTCTTATTTGCGTACTAACTGCTACAGCAAATGTTCAACATGATCACCTTGAACGTGAATGTATTTTCAAAAACGTGTTAATGTAGATAAGAAGCCATACAAACTTTTTCGGTTTTTTGCACACAAAAAAAAACGGGTAAAAAATGAGAAATTCCAAAATTTTTTGGTAATGGGACCACCCCGGAGACATGCTCTACAAGATGCAACAGGTTTCATCCCGATTGGTCAAGCCGTCTCGGCGTAATCGAGTAACATACATCAAAAAAATAAAAATAAAAATAAAAAAAATACATGTCAAATTGAGTAACCTCCTCCTTTTCGAAGTCGGTTAACAACACTGCACAATGAACTGTATTTGGATCAATTGCAATGCAAACTCTTCTTGTTCGCTCGTTCGTATCTTCTCTGGCTGTTGGCATTTCGCTGTATACATGCTGTTTTAACTTTCCCCATAAATAGAAATCCATGGGTGTTAAATCGGGAGAACGCGCTGGCCATTTAATATTCCGAGGAGAATGAGCTTGGACATCGATCTTGCTGGCACCACGTTAATTGCTCTACGTTCAATGAATAATCTAATAATAGTGAAAAAATTTCTGTTAAAATCTGTGCATACTTGTGACTATTTAATGCTTCATCAATAAATTGAGGACCAATTTTGAGATCGATGGATGGCCGATCAGAGAATATTAAAATATTTGGCACGTTCTTTCGATTTAACATCCATGAATTTTTATTTATGGGAACAATTAAAAAAAATTTTAAAAAAAAGGAACACAAAGATAAATAAAACTATAGTAAAATAATTAAGGAATGTTTACTTAGGTGATTAAAAACAATTAGATACTAAATGATTTTTAAAGTTAACGTAAAACTACTTCAAACTAAGACATTAAATTAAAAAATGTGAGATTTTCTAGATAATTGATCATCATTAAAACGTTTTTATTTTTCTATGTAGAAAGAACAGGCCTCGGTTAGCGTCTCGAATATATCAGATGATCCATCCCTCGTTTTAAAAAGATGGCGTGGTCCAAAGGCTCGCAACAATCGGTACGAGCCTTGGGAAAAGGAGAATCAGAATGGTGCACAGAACAAAGAAGATAAATGGGAATTTCCCCGACATCGATTGAAGGTTAGTATCATAATTGCTTCGATCAAACCACTATGTCTTACAAAAGACAGAATTTTGAATCACTCTCACAAATTGAATGTGCTGTAAACCTAACATGTTTTCATAAACAGTAACAACATCATAAACTTCTTTATTATTATACCATCACTATTTTCATCCGATGGAAATGAATCTTTTAATGAATATTCCCAAGGAATTATCGAATACTATAATTGTTTACTTAAGCTCTGACAATTAAACATATAAAAAGTGCAATAAAGTGGTAAAAAATAGAAGATCGTCAAATATATTTTTAAGCTTTTAAGAGGCAACGAAGCCCTACCAGATGCAAGAAGATTCAATCCGATTGGTCAAACCATTTCGGAATAAGAAGCAATACAACATTTTTCGGTTTTTTGCACGCAAAAAAAAACGAGTAAAAAATGAGAAATCTCAACATTTTTTGGTAATGGGACCACCGCGGAGACATGCTTTACAAGATGCAACAGGTTTCATCCCGAGTGGTCAAGTCGTCTCGGCGTAATCGAGTAACATACATAAAAAAAATAAAAATAAAAATAAAAAAAATACATGTCGAATTGAGTAACCCCCTCCTTTTCGAAGTCGGTTAAAAATGTACATTCTCAAAGACTTAATTACTTTCTCTTAAACATCGAAGGTTTTCCAACATGAACTTCAGGATTTTATTCTTCAATACAACACACGAATGATATGGAATACATTCAATTACTTTTATTTTACACAACAGGTGATGTTTAAGTGTCCATCACGGCTACACTTGTAAATATACTATTAAACAACAAAATCCTAAAATCCCATTGGAAAATGCTCTAGATTCTCAAACACTTGCATGGTCTGCGTATTATAATTAAAATCTCTATACAATTACTTCTTGAATTCATTGTAGGTGTTCAACATTCTTGGAGAGGGTTGCTTCGGACAAGTTTGGAAATGCGAAGCGTTAGAGATCGAGGGGAAGTCTGGGGCAACTATAGTCGCCGTGAAGACTTTAAAGGAAAATGCTACGGAAAGAGAGCGAGTGGACTTGGCGCAAGAGTTACGAGTCATGAAAAATTTGGATCCCCATCCTAACGTAGTCAGATTACTAGGGTGCTGTACAGAACGCGAACCTATGTTCGTAATTTTAGAGTATGTGAGCGGAGGGAAGTTGCAAAGCTTTCTGAGGTCATCCAGAGAAGAAAGAAATCATGGAGGACCTGGACTAACATCCAGAGATTTAACCGGATTTGTTTATCAGGTGTTGTATAATGTGTATACAAAAGTATTATTAAAACAGATTGGGATTATTCGGAACAGTTCACTTAACACTGGGGTTTAAACTATTTTCGTTGCTTCTGATTCAAATATTTATCATTATGGTTAATATAGAAAAAGTTGTAAAGAATACATTTAATTCTAATCTACCCTTTGTCCGCTAGACGATTTTTGCTTGAAGTCCTACGGCCCGTAGGCTATACGAAACATACTACTGCCAGGATCGCGTTCGTAGTTTAAGCGCCCCGCCTAAGGAGATGAAATTTAAATTCATTTAAATTCGTAAAATTAATTTTTAAAAAATGTCTCTTAATAGACAATAACAAGACGAAACTTTGTTATGTTTACAATGTATTCATCCGACGTTTAGTTTCAAAAATAAAAATTGAAAACTTAAAAGTCCTGTAGGAATTAATTTAACTTCCACTTAACTTATTTACAATTTACTTATACATTTATATACATGAGAATATAATTAAAATTTTCAATTAATAAACGATATTAAGCCGATAGGATAACATTTGAATTTATAACTTTCGTTGTAAACAACAACGCATCTAACACGAATATAACGTTTTAAATTTATGCAAACAGAACGCGCCGCGTAGCACAAGCTATAGAAACTATAGTTCCTACAGTCCTTTTTCCCGAAATTCAATTAAATTATAAAATATAAATCGCTGTAACTTGGACGAATGTCATCGAAACACTTCCAACATTTGTACAGATACGTAGTAGGATCCAACGATACCTAACAACCTAACAAAAAGCCTAAAATTCATTACTGTTTACAAATATTCAATTGCAAATGAGTAACTGCCAGTTAACGATACTTTTCATTTTCACCGTTAAAAAGTATCGAGAGGAGTTTGCGTTCGAAACAACTTCCAGTGAAACAATTGTTCAGTAATGTTCGTAGAAGTTTTTCAGAAATTTGCAAATCGATTCATACACAATTGACTGAAATAGAGTGTTAGTTATAAGATCGCGCACCGTCGTCAACGACAATGCTTCGAGCCGCAAAGGTGCGACTTATAAGATTTTAGTTCTTATTTTTTAAACTAAACGTCAGATGAATAAACTGTAAATATAAAAAAAAGTCGTCTTGTCATTCTTCATAAAAGGATATTTTTAAAAAATTCATTTGACGAATTCAAAAAGTTCATCCACTTGCGTGGAGTTTCGGACTTCGTTTCGTTACTGGATTCCGATATACAAGGTGTTAACAAATATGTGGGACACTTTTTCAGGATCAACTCGAAATTTGTTTCTTATACTTGCAAACCTTACTATCGATATTTTGTACATATAAAATTCAGTTTAAAGTGTTCTAACATTGTTTACTTTTCAAATTTTACCAGAATTTTCAATTAATCTTCTGAACAATGGTTTGAAAATTTGCTTTTTGTTCTCTTCTAAATTGCAGTCCTCCTTAAAGAACACTTATGAAACACTTGTATGCTGCAGATTGCCAAAGGTATGGAATACCTGGCTTCCAAAGGAATCATACACAGAGATCTAGCAGCGAGGAATATACTCATCGACGAGAATCGCGCGTGCAAAGTCGCGGACTTTGGATTTGCTCGAGACGTTGCTGCCAATGAAATATACGAGAGAAAGTCCGAAGGTCGACTGCCAATCAGATGGATGGCTCCTGAGAGCTTGTACGATAATATATTCTCCGTGAAATCGGATATATGGAGTTTCGGTGTGTTAATCTGGGAAATCGTCACGTTGGGATCCACACCTTATCCTGGTTTAGCTGCAGCTGAGGTATGCTATTCGAATTGTACTAACCCTTTGCACTCGAGGCCTTTTTTTCTGGTATCCACCAGCAACTCGAGATGCTTTCTTAGCATTCTATTGTCACGAATGCTAAGATTATATTGACTTCGAAAATGAGATCTCTAATTTGAGATTTGAGAATCAGGACACCTTTGCTTCAACGACGATCATTTTATTGGTACTTCGAGTTCCTAAGAAATTAAACCGAAAGAAAACCTAGCGGTGACTGAGAGTCGCCTCTAGGTGCAAAGGGCTAATTTAAAAACACGTTTCGATCAATTTTTGAACATGTATTCGAATTTTTGCAAAAATAAAGTACACGTAAATCTAACGACAGCTATACACCTAGAAGTGAAGATAACCCTTCGAAAATGTTTTTATTTTTTACTTTATAATCATTACAACTATGTTAGATGCAAAATGTGCTAGTTAATGTTTTTTACCATTGCGATAGTCTTCAAAATGAATTCTCTTTTTTTTTCAAAAATTTGTCACGCCACTTCCTTAATCTAATCCTTAAATCTGATCTGGTACATATGTATATTATATGTAGAATATGTGTGACATTAGAAGTAGATTAAGAAAAAATCGAAATGGAATAGTTTTGTTTTTATTTAAAAGGAATACCATTCATCTACATTTATGCAAAATATAAAAGAAAGCACTAATTAATGAGAGAAATTCATTATGCGTGAAATGTGACTTTTTTGTAGTATATATCCTCCCTGTGTCAGTTTAGCACTGAAATAAGAAGTAATAGTATTTTCGTAATCTTCAATGTAAAATGTTATCAATATTGATCTAAATTTTTCTTAAACAATTTCATTCTTTAGTTATCGTAATGCCAAAATTGAAAATTACATTTAAATGCCACGATTTTTGTTTACTTGGGCCATCATTTTATTTAGAAACATTCTTATTTAATTTGAACCAACATTAATCGCACACGATATTGTAAATTCAGAATATATTCTTGAATCTTCTACGCATTTTCATCTTCACCACACCAATCAATTTATGTTTCCGTTTAAATCATACTTTGACATTCAACATGTGACATTCCATTCGCAGGTGATGAGGAGAATCAAAGAAGGTTACAGGCTGGACAGACCAGAACACTGCAAGAGAGAGCTTTACAACATTATGTATTATTGCTGGGACAAAGATCCAGCTTGTAGGCCATCCTTCGGAGAACTCGTCGGCTTGACCGAAGGTCTTCTGCTTGACGAAACCGACTACATCGAATTAGATAGGTTCCCAGATCATTCGTATTATAATGTACTGAATCTCAGCGGAGAAAAATTGTAAACGATTTATCTCGAATATTAACACTTTATTTACCAGGAGCTTATTTATAGACTTTTTAATTGCAGTATTTAGCTTTTCGAATTTATTTACTGTGTCGATGGTTGTCTACTTACAATATTCAGTTTTTGGAAACAGACTGGGCTTTCAATGTACCTAGTAATAGTATAAAGGAATCATTGTCAGCCTAGATTGGCATATGCTACTGTAGAAAATTCTTTTTTGAATTAAAGACTGGTTCTTAATAGCCCGGTAAATAAAGTGTTAACAATGATCTTCATTATCGCCACGAAACGTGTGCGGTAAAATTTAATCGAAGAAACGAACGGATCCATCCGAACAAGCGATAAAGTTATCAAACTTCTTCGGACACGACTGATTTGTACTGTTCTTTTTTCTTAATATTAGTTTTGCAACAGATACGAATTCACTATGCGGAGCATTAATAGCTCTTACCTGATTATACATTTCTTAATTAAATCCCCTCTGATGTGTATAGGTAGAATAATTTATGCGATAATGTAATTGAAATCTGCTAAGTATTGTACGATTTAAAGCCGATATAGCTTTTACCTTGAGATTGATCCAGCGAAAATAATTCATGTTGCGTGAAGTTGTATATATACGTTCTGCATGTTGAACATAATTAAAAATACTCCGAAGAGGAGCGAGCGTTGTGAACTAGTCAAGAGTTCGAATGAATTATTTTAAGTTATGATCGTATTAATCTTAGATGTAAACGAACGTTGCTATATATTAAAAGTTGCAAAGGAAAACTGTTAAAAAATTAATCACTGAACTTAAGCAAACCGCCACACGCGAATTAAGAAATAATTACCTTAATTATAACATTCTTTCGTACATCAATGTGAATTGTACATATACATTAGGTAAACGTTTTTTATAAGTTACTGTATAATTGTTGTAAGAATAAATCGCATTTTGCTACAGCTGTCTACCTATCAATTTGTCTTGAGTATAACGAGGGGTGTTACATTTTTCGCACTGTTAGACGAATGAATTGTATTTGTGGGAAACGTATTAGGTTGTCCTAAAAGTTTCTTTTGCTTTGTTAATAAGTAATACATGCACAATATTTTATGTTTTGTTACATTACTGAATTCTGCACGATTCATTTTGCTCCATTACTGTTACAACATGAATATCTATGAAATTTGATTGTCTATTTATATAAACACGACCACATAAAATAATTGAATGCAACTCGCGAAAGAAACTTTCGGGACAACCTAATAATTTTGGTTGGAATGAACGAAGGAAACATATTTCGAATATAAGAACAAAATACTAGTTAATCTAAAGTAAAGGCTGCAGCAGGATAAGCAGAAGCTGTTTCTGTACGACTATGTTCCATTATAGAAGGGTACTTTGTTCCGTATTTGGCGCTTAACCCGTTTTTCTTCGAATCTAAACCGTACGGGTGTCAAAGCCATTTACTGTCATGATAGGCCAATCGGTAGAGAATTAAAACAGCGTTTTTGTGACAAAAACAATAACAGAAAAACCGATTGTGCAATTACATAAAAGGGGATGCGTAGATTAATAGGTATATGTTTTTCACTCCCAACTCTGTTCCGTTTTCTTGTTATTTACAAGTGGAGCAATATCAATGCTCCAATGAGATAAAATGGCGGAGATACGAATTTTTGAAAAAACGCCGAATTTTCCGGTTTTCCAGTTGAATATACAGGTTGGAGCATTTAACTGGGAACACCTGAACATGTATCTGAATTCTATACCAAACCAGTCTATTGTTTGTATAATTTATTATTTGGCAGTCATTTGACAGTCATTTCTTCTTCACTCTCTACGAACATATTATCAGTAGCAACCAAATATTAAAATTGTAATTTATGTGTATCACTTACAGGTCATGCTTTATAAAGCAGCCACTAATGTGAGATCAGTAAATTCGAATGTACCTACGCTACACGTTTATATTCGTCTAGCGGTGATAAGAAGGTGGACCAGGTCAGTGAATTGTCTAGAAAACGAAAGATTAGTGTTACGTTAATTAATTCGATGCGGCACCGAAACTAGGATTTTGTTCTAAGAAAATATGAGTGGTATGGACTATATTTTTAACTTTATTGAATATATATTGAGTGATATACTGTGTGAACTTTCGACACAACCCCTTTGGTACGAGTACCACATAAGTTTATTACATCGATAGCACAATATACATATATTGTAAGAGATACTTTTAATTAATAACTCTTTTCATGAATTATTTATCAGGATTTCTTTGATGAACTTGGACAATACAATAAGTCAAATTCAACGATATTTTAAACACTTTATTCTTAATACTTCATTCATATAAATCTCATGTAACTTAATTTCACAGAAAAAAAAAATATGTATTCATGTCTTTATCATTGAACGTAACTAAGTGAAATGATTCGCCAATTTCAAAAAACACCCTAAAAACGCACACACATTGTACACACACCATACAACAGCACGTGCATTAAGCATACGTCACACACACACACACACACACACACACACACACACACACACACACAC